ACAGCACACAGACAGAATTTCATTGACAAGCGCTATTTTGCAGCGGACAAAAAAAGTGCAACTTTTTTGGTTTGTTTCATTTTCTTAAGTCTAGGTGTTAATGTCACGGAAGTTTTTTAATAATTAAAGGAAGAATCCAGAAATATCCAGAAGCATACAAAAGCTTCCAGAAGAAGCATCTGAAAGCATCCATAAGCATCTAGAAGTATCCAGAAACATTCAGAAGCATCCAGACACATCCAGAAGCTTTCAGAAGCATCAAAAAGCATCTAGAATCTTCCAGAACAGGTTTAAATAGATTCATTTTACTATATAAGAGACATGTAAACCGACATGTAATTCATTCATTATATGGAAGTCAACCAGTCAGTATTATCAAGACAGTTTATCGAAGTAAGTTTTATCAAACTGTTTTATTGAAGAACATCAATACAAGAAGTGAAATACAACAAGTGTTTCATTAAATCAATACAGTCCACATCCAATTAAGACGTTGTGTTTCACAGAGCATTATTGTACCATCACAAGTATAATGTAACACGGTAAGCCTTGAGAAGTGTGATATTTTCATTATTTTTATGAATTCAAGTTTAAAAATGGCTCCTGACAGCCTTGGATTGGAACTAAGAAAAAAAATTATTGTCGATTACGCAAGTGGATTTTCAGAAAAAAGTATTTGTGATAAATATCGCATGAAAAAATGGACTGTATCAAGACTATGTTCCACGGGGAAGTTGGCAGCAGATAACAAAGGTGGAAGATCGCGTTCCACCACTTCTAGAGAGGATTCTATGATTTTCAAATTCGTCAAGAAGGATTCCTGGATATCATCAGTCAAGATACAAAAGCAATTAGAGCTGCCTGTATCGAACCGAACAATCATACGACGTGCAGTTGAAACCGGATTGTTTTCACGACGCCCTGCAAAGAAACCGCTGATTTCACTAAAGAGACGAGAAGAAAAGATTTCTGTTTGCTACATCTCATATTGACTGGAATGTGCAGAAATGGCGAACTGCCCTATTCAGTGATGGCTCAAGTGTACCATTAGTGGCAGCCGTCAAATTGGCTAGCCAACAACTAGCTTTTATATTAAATGTTGAAAAGTTATCGGCTAGCCACTTTTAGCGAATGCTTTAAGTAACCTGGGAGCAAAACTCCATTAAACGCCTAAAATGTTTATATAGGTCCACTGGAAATCCACTATAAAATAATTGATGGGTTATTAAAATCATAATTGGATATCATTTTCACAGATTTTTATAAAATCATTAGATTTTTAAATTTAAAGATCAAAAAAATTTTAAAAATTTAAAAGTATTCTGTCAATAAAAACTTATACAAAAATTATATATACCAATTTATAAAAAGTCATGATTATAATAATTTAGTACGCATCTCAGTAGCGGATTAGGACTTCTTGGGGCCAAGGGCTATTTTTGTTTTTGGAGGCCTTTTTATGGGCCAGAGCCTAAAAATAAAAATAAAAAAAACATTCTCTAAAACATTTGGGAACCCTAAATTTGCGAACGCCCCCCCCCCCCACTGATCTGGTATTGACGTATCTTGTTTAAATTAATTGATCATAAGTTTGAGCATCATAATTTTTGCATCAATGCTTTAAATGCAAAGGAAAAATTCCAGTTTAATGTGGTCTTTCCACAACACCCTTTCACACAAATTTTTGAAAACTTTACTTTGAAGGAATATTGTTGATTAAAACTAAATTTTACAAATTCTTGGTAACATTTTTTTATTGCAAAAATTGTACAGAAGAGAATAGGCACTAGATTTTGTAAGATTGTTAAGACTTATAAAGGATACCATTACACGAAAAAAGAAAATTAACTAAATCTGTGATTAATTCTATGCAGAATTTTTATGATCTAGCAATAAGTAACAATCTTGACAATTTTTATGGTATGAAAAAAGCTGTTAATGGCGGTTTTGTTTCGTTGTGCAGATTTTGATGATGGGAAAAGTTGACGCCGTGTCCGATGTGTCCATGGCTCATGTTGCTAAGAGACACTTGTTGCAAATATCATTTGCAAATATCACACTTGCTGCAAATATCATTTAGACAAAGTTCATGATAAAAATACTTAAGTAGAGCAAGTAAATCTTATTGTATTAGTCTTAAACATTTTGAATTCAACTTTTACTGATTTATCTTCAGATGATTTACTGAAAAAATGTCTTTATGATAAGATCCAAAACGCCAACGAGACACTCAACCAGATTATTTGGAGACGCTGCCCAAAAAATATTTTTGTGGGTATATGTTATTGAATTTAATGAAGTTTCTAATGGAATTCTATTTGTTCTAAGTTAATTTAAACTAACAGGATATGTTATGTCTATGAAACTTAATAAAAAGAATAAAGAAACTATAAAGCGGTCTCTTCTAAAATCCACAGACCGTGTCAAAAAGAGAAGAAAATAACTAAGAAAAATTAAAAAGGGTTACTGAGACAAAGATGATAAAGAAAATAACTTAAAATTTATTTCTGGAAGGTTTTAATATGTTTTTATGATTTTTTTATTACGGTTATATTCTTTTATTTTATATATTTATCATTTCCTCAGAATTAAATTTTGTGCGGCCGTAACGCAATGGTTACAGCGCTTGCTTTATAAGCACGAGATCAAGATTCTTTTTGCGTCAAGGTATGAAAGGAGGCGTGTACTTCCTGATTAAATGCACTTCCTTGGTGCTCTGTGACAAGACCGCTAAGTCTTCTTGGGGCACCTAAATAACAAAAAACTTCAAAACATGATTATTTTGAACTCGTTTAAGCTTTTGATCTAATTTTTTTTTAATTTTTTAAATAATTAAAAAGGATCCGGATATTTAAAATAAGGGAAGTACTTTTTCATGAGACTTGTGTTGGCCATTCGTCCACCAATTTTTCTAAGTTTGTTTTAAATGTTGTAACCTTTTATATACTGTAATAATGAAAAACGCTTCACTTTCCGGATTAATATACCTATGAATGTATACACCAATTTTCAGTTTGATATGATAAATATTTTGATGGCTTGCTTGTCACAAAAATTGCTAATTTTTCCATTCATTTTTTAAATAACTGGGTGATTTTTGTATATAGTTTACAGAACTACATTTTTGGTGAAAAAATTAAATTAAAAACATTTTGCTATCAAAAGTTAGCTTTTTCTGTGGAGGACCACCTTAAGCTTAAGGAAAAATTTAAAACTTATTTAAAATCCATACTTTAAAACAACAATTTTTACCATGTAAAATAAGAGTTGTTTATATGCAGTTTCCACAATTGAATAATATTATCTAGAATTGAGAAGTGTTGTATGGAAAAAAAGTGTCTTAAAAGTGTATTTGTTTCAAAGAAAGTTTTAAAATTAACTGTATTTTTATCAATTATTAAATCTAATGACGGATTTATAAAAATGGAATTTATTTTTGGGCGCCCCAGTATAATCTTGACCTCCATAATTAAATCCCAGTATAAATAGAGTTAAGTTGTATACTAGAAAAAAGATTACTTGTTTAACTCTCTCCATTCTATGAATGCTATCCATTCATCTTAAGACAAACAATTGATGTTTAATAAAAGTTGATATGCTTTTCTTTATATATTAAAATATTAAAACACTGCGCTATATGAAAATTTAAATAAATTGCAAAATATTTATGGATCTTTAAAGGTCATCTCACCAAGCCCATAAAATCAAAAGAATAGCCATAGCTTTTATAGATAGGGGAACACAAAGAAGATTTGAAAAAACCCATAATTTTCCAAACGTTTTTTCAAATGTTTTGAAAATTTTGAGTTTTTGTAAATCCTAGACCAATGAAACATTTTGTCAACATGCTTTTTTTATCAAAATGATTCATTGCTTTCAAAAAAATTTTGCTTTGCAAAAAAAAAATTGTAAAAAAAAAAAAATTTCCGTCAGTTATTAGAGCACAATAATAAAGCAAAATAAATTTGCGTATAAGGAAGAAAAAAAAAACTACAAAATTACACCCATAAAATACCACACATTAATAGTGGTTTATCAAAATCTTGTTGAAAGTAAATTAGTGTTTAAAAATATATAAATGTATGCCAGTATTTAATATATAGAAAATATGAGCATAAAATTATAATATATTGAGTATTATAAATTTTTTTCTAGCTCTGTCTATCAACCCTTGCTAAATCTTATAATTATATAATATAAATTATAAGATTTTCTCTTATAATTTAGCCGGGGACGGGGTCCCGACCCCAATCACTTACTAAGACAGTTAGGACTTCTGATAGCACAATAAAACAAAAAATATTTTTTTAAAATATGAGAGTAAGAGTGTTGTCATTTGTCAATATAAGAATGCCAATAATATTGCAATATTTTTTTGCAGTAAACAAATGAGTTTTGTTGTCTAACAAAAATTGTAGATTTGAAGCCCAGAATTTAAATACATAAGCCACTGTTAGCCTTAGGCTGTTACAGAAGAGAGATCAGATTTAAAATCGGCTGCTTGTTCTAAGCAATTAAAAAGTAAAGATTTTTTGTCAAGACAAAAGTATAAAGTTGAATCATCAGCAAATAGAGCCACTTTTGATCTCATTAAGATCCTTATTGTAGATAAGAAATAATACAGGAGCAAATATAGAATCTTGTGGTACCCATAAAGTTACTTGAAATAAAGAAGAGGGTGGCCTTCAAGAATAACTCTACTACTGCAGTTAAAAAGAAATAATTTAATAACCTATAAACCTTTACATAGAAACTTATTCGAAACTAATAACAGAGTGAAGAGTAATCGTAGGATAATTGGAGAGATCAAAGTGTTTTCTAGAGTTTTGAAAAATTCGAACCACCTCACAGTGGGCCAGGTATATGGGAAGTGGTGGACAAAACCTAATTATTACCCAATTGGTCCACAAACCCATTTAGATATATAAATAATCATTATATATGAAATAATATTTATTTTTAACAAGAATATTTTAATTTTTATTAAAAAAAAAGACATTTAATAGGCTTAGGTAGTAAAAAAATATTTTTTTCAATATCAACCTTTTTTAAAAATCAAACAACAAATTGTGTTTAGCTACAAAGAAAAAGAAGAAGGTGGAGCTGATTCCCTCAGCAAAGCCAAAACTTCACTGGGGTATTTTTTTAAACTCTTACCATTTTTTTTATGACACTTTCTTAATGATGTTATGACAGGATCACTAGATACAAGTAGCCTGTTAACTAGGTCACGATTTGTGTCGATTCTGGAAGTCTTTCTACTGAAATCTTCCCTAAACTTTTTAAAATCCTTGTTACAGGCCTCTTGGGCCTCCTCTGACATCAGTCCAATTGGCAAGTACTGTCTAGCAATGATGGCATGGCCATGAACTAAAATTTTGTGTACTGATTGTGCCATGTAATACCAGGAATACTTAGATATGTAAAGTTTAAGAGCAGTAATACAGAACTCTTTAAATTTGACAGTGTCAATTTCAAATCCAGATGATAAAGTGACTAGTATGATGTAAAAATAAAATAAAAGAGTTTCATCTACTTTCAAAATTTTGGCAGTTGATTGATAGTTTGCAAAGGCTCGTCGGGCAGTGTTACCATCATTACTGGTACCTACAAATTGTATATATGTGATAGTTAACCTGATGATTTATATAAAAGTATTTATGTAATTTCACTTACCAGATCCTCCACTTTTTGGGAAATCCACAACTAGTCCCATTTGGTTCATAAATTCTGTCTGTATACGTTTCTTCACTTGCATAACATTTTCCTTATCTTCTATAGCTCTAGACTGCCACTTTTGAGTTTCTAGTTTATATCCAATATGCAATACCATCTCAAAAAACCTAATCCAGGCATGCAGGCTAGAAAGACCATATTTCAATTCTAAATTATTAGAATTGTCCAATTTCAGCACCATTTCTAAGTTATTCATGTTTTTTGGAGACACACCACACACAGAGCAACATTGAGTTGAGTTAATCACATGAGACAGAATAGTTTGAATTTTGCCATCAATCATGGTCAGTTCAATAATACTTTTGACAACCAGTTCCTTTCCATTAAAAGTAAAATTAAAAACACCACATTTTTTGATTTCAGATTCTAAATATCTTGCTTCTTCTATAACAACTGCTTTGCTTTCATTTTAAAAAGAAAATCTTATTGGACTACAATATGCAGTAGATGATGGCTTTTCATTTCGCCATAATAGCACTTTTTTGTTATTACAGAACCCACTGAGTTCTAGTGGTGCTAAGCAGGTAATGAACAGAGATTCTTCTTTTTTTAAGCTACGATCTCCAGCTTCCTCACTACTAATTTGTTCGTACATGCTTTGCCCAGTAGCCCCATCAAACCCAGCCTTGCAACGCAAAGTCAACCGGGTCAAACCATCTAGCATTGTGCTGATCACAGGAGCTTGCATCTCACAAAGTTTTTTTACTGTATGTTTTAATAATTCTTGTAGTGGTACATGTGCTGAATAATCATCAACAAAGATGTTCTCTGGATAGCACTTAGCTTTGGACGATCTTATGTTGTTGTATGAAGGATATATATGACAGTCACGTTCTTCAGCTCCATTTCTCATAAGTTGGTAGGTTGATTTTGACATGCCACCATCTATAATTAATGCCAGACCTTCATCAGGTGTATACTTTTTAAATTGACTAGAAGGTTCTGATATCTCAGTAACTTGCTTGGCAGCCTCATAATTATACTCATTTCTTAATTTAAGCCTTACTGAGTGGAGCAACTCATCACTAGAAAAATTATTTATAATATCATTAAGTCTTCTCCTTTTGGTTTTGTCAGAAGCATCTTTAAAGGAACAACTTGGTCTTTCACCAATCGTATGTAATTGACTAGAATTATCAGGCTTATATATATTATTACTGTATGTAGATTTAAAGTCCTGAGTCAACCAATTTTTATTTTTACTCTCAAACTTTATGTTTCCTTGGTTTGCATCCTTCCATTTCTTTTGATAAACTTTTAAAAATGCAGCACACCCAGTAGAACCCAAATTCATAGAGACTAAAATAGATTCTACAGACAAAGAAAATGATTTATCACTCGGATTTAGTTAGTCATGCCGTATACGGTTATGGACATCACTTATCTTCATATCAACTACAAAAAAATTAATTTAAAATTATTAGTGCAACCACTATAAACTAATATAACATGAATATGGCCATTATTTTTATTTCAGATATATTTAATTAGGCCAGTACAATAAGCACAACACCTACTAATGACAACAATCCAAAAAATAGGTTTGTCGCGAATAGCATTTTACTACAATATATATTTTTTAAATGTTTACAAAACCTAAAGGGGCAGCTATGAGCAGAATAAAACAGCACCAACAGGCTGTACATATATTGTATTAACTTATTCTACCATTAATATGCTGTTCCAGCAGGTTCTAAACTATATGAGCCACTTTTAACATAATATTTTTATACTATAAACAAGAATCTTACCTTTATATTTCAAAATAAAACTGTGACTTTAATACAAGACCTTGGAATTTGTTATGGTATTTTTTGAAAAGCTATCAAATTAAATTTTAATAATATGTCAATTAATTTCGCATATGTTAAATAATTTAAAAGTTATTTGTTGTTATAGTTATGTTGTTATGGTATATTAAAAAAAAAAAAAAAAAAAAATAATTAATCATTATATTCAATTGTAAATAATAATTGTACATTTATGATGTACAATCAAACTACAAATAATGTTTTAAACCATACATTATGCTCTTATAAATATAATGTACTAAGTAGTTGGAAGTATTTCGAAATTTTTTTTTCGAGGTTTTGTCTACCACCTGGCGCACTGTGCACCTCTTTAGCACTTTTTAAAAGCTCAGCGAAAATTGAAGAAAGTTCTGTAGAACACTTTTTTAGGACTATGATAGAAATTTTGTTTAAAGCCCAAACTGTAAGAGCGTTTAATTGAGAATCAATTTTAGTATTGAGTATTAGAAACCAAAGTAATTTCGATTTCAACAATGGGTTGACATCTGTTTAACTGTCAGGAAGAATATGGTCGTTATATTCGAGAGTCAAACTAGAGTAAGATTTCTTTGTAAATTGCTCTGCTTTATTCTGGGGAAATTTAAAAATATCAGACCCATTAATTAGAAATTAAAACTAACCTAAAGTCTTTAGAACCTAACATCTGAGATAAGATACAAGATTTAGTAAACTGAGAATAACAGAGATTTACATCAGGACACTTATATATTAGCTTATTGCAATAATAAAAAAGGACATTTGTTCTTAAGAGAGATGTTCTTATAAAAAAGATAAAAAAAGTGATAAATGTTGAAAAATGCGGAGTAGAATGAGGCATGACTTAAAACTGAAGAGATGTAATAAAAGTTTCCAAACTTTTATTCCAGAAGCCATATAAGTTTCCCAGATGCACTTTATGCACACATATTATGGATATAAACATATCTGTTTGCTATTTGTTTAGATGCTGGCATACAATATCCTATCATTGTTATATAAACATTAGTATTTATATGGCGTAGTATTTGCCGAAAGAGAAGATGATCAGATGGATGTGTGGTGTGACTCTAGCAAGACAAGGAAAGGAGATATAATCGTAGACAGATTAGAAAAAATGTTGTATCAAACAATGTTTGTTAGAAAAGGTTAAAGTAATTTAGGTATCAACATGTAGAGTGGTAGCAGCTTCAGTAGAAAACGGTTGTGGTAAAAGTAAGAAAATTTAAAGAGAGTGCTCTACATATTGGATAAAAGAGCTTTAGTTAGGAATAAAAATGCTCTAGATTGTTTATATTAGAGAAACAGCTTAAAAGAGAAAGGTTAAAGCCTTATGATGATGATGATGTTGATGAGCATGGTGATCTACGGTATTGCAACAAAAATGTTCGTTATTGAGGCTTTTAATTTTGGTATTGCAACTAGATTCGTTTTGGCAACTCCTAGGGTCGTTTTTGCAACTTAGACGTTCGCTTTTGTAACACCAACATTGGAAAATTCGTTATTGCAATATTTAACAGCACCCGTTTAAGTATTTCGCTTGTTGTCCACCATTAAGCTTTTATTCCAAAAGTTCAAAAGAAGAAAGTTATACAATTTTTTTTTTCTAGTTGTCTTTAAGGATGTTATAAAAAGCTAAAAAAAAGAACTACAATTTAATTTTTTAAGTTTCTTATACTCTTTGATCTTTGAATGCTAGTTTAACTGTGTTTCTGGTTTAAAAGAATTAAACAATGCTTAAGTGTTACATTTGCTGTGGTGACGCTTCTTCCTGTGGAACAACATGTCTACTTTGTAAAAAAGTAATCAACATCAATTGCCATGGAGGTGTGATTAGTGATGGATATGTTATTTGCAAGATATGTGCAGGTGCATATTTATTTTTATTTTTTTAAAAAGGCATAAATCTTAATAGAAACTAGTAAGGTTTATAACTATAACTAGTCTAGTTTAATAAGCTTAAAAAAAGTATGCGATAAAGCACAATATAAAGTAACATAAAAACTGAATTACTAGTTTACTAATCCACTCTAAAGTTGATTACATTGTTGTATCAACATCTCTCTTTCGAACACTTTTTAGTCATGTTATTCAATAACTTATTGTTTTGCATTTATACTATTACTATTTTTTTAAATTTAAATTATTTGTAAAAGTTGTTCTAAATCTTCCACTGATGAAAAGGACGATATTGTTGGAAGAGGTATATGTTTTTGTTGAGGTTATTGTCTATATACTATTAAGATGAGTTTTTTAAGATAATATGTTATCAAATCATGTTTCACAAAATGATAGATTGATACATTTAGATCTATTTATAAAAGTTTCTACATACATTGTGTATGATACATTGACATACATTTTAAATGTCTAACATAAGTGCATGTAAATAAAAGTTATTAACACTGTATTGATGCATTTTAATATAAAAAGAAAATTTTTTTGGTTTTAGGTTTACAAAAAATGACAACCAAAAAATAAATAAAGTTGCCTTATCACAACTTCTTAAGTCAATACATAGCAGTTCTGTATGTTTAAATATAAATAATCATATATTTTTGTTTAATTCAATTTATCAAAAATGTGTCAGTTACGTGTGGTTTTAGTTTTCTAACCAATATATTTTACCTAATGAATTTTGTATTCAAGTTGAAGCAGTTTTTATAAATGATACAAATTTCATATTAGGTCTACAGTTACAGAAATGATTTTTTTCAAGCTGGAGGACAAAAAAAAAGTATGCTTGCACTGGTTTTTTTAATTGAAGTAGAAACATTTAAAGTATACAATGTTTTACACGCTACTTTACTTCAGTATAATCAAATACTGCATAGCGTAAGGTTGGGTGACTTTAGCCCATTTTGCATCTTAATGTCTATTGCATGAAAGCCACAAAAGTTATTTCCTTAAACACTAAGTACTTTTAGAAGTGCATAGAAAGGACAGTTAGAACTATCTGTCTCCCATTTAAAAATTATTTACCTGAAGTATCTTTTGGGTGGTTCAAATGGTGGGCCAAAGTCGCCCTATGTGTTAGGGTGACTTTGGCCCAACTCTGTAAAAAAGAATTAAAGGAAGCAAAACAACAATAAAAACAAAAATATTTAGGCAAAGAAAATAAATTTACAAAAATAAAGTGACAAAAAAAGATTTAGTAACAAAGTTCTTGTATACAGTAAATAAAATATAGGCACAAACTAAACAAGTATAAGTACCAAGTAAACAAAACAGTTTAGGTATAAAGTAAACAAAAATGACAAAAACAATGTTTTAAAAAATTTAGTGAAAAAGTTCTGAAACTGAAAAAATTCCTCTTTTCGTAATTTTCTTTGGTTCCTCAATAAAATCAACTATTTCAGACTGGGGGAAAAAAAGTTGCTCTGCTGGTAGTGACCATTTCCAGTTAAGTCCATTTTTCTGCTCCATTTTTTTAATTTTTTTAACTGCAGAAAAAAAAATTTCAAAAGTTTTTTAAATTTTTCAGTAGTTTTATTAAATAATATTAGTTATTAAATTAATTAGTTATGAAGTTTACAAATTGATTAGCTAAATATAAATAACTCAAAATAAAAACATATTTGTCCAGGATTTAACTCTCCATTGCATTTAACAATTACATAACAATTCTCTACAAGATTTAATAATTTCTCCTTTTTACAAACATTTTTTGTTTTATCAATATTTTGAAAGTTCCTTTTGCCTAACGATGAATGATCTAATGATTCTGTATGACTTTCTACAACTAAACTTACATATGCAAAAACTAGATTAGAAGTCTCAGTAGTTCCAGTATTTGTACTTGGGCCAGCTAAGTCAATGTTGTTGGTCTCAATTGTATTTATAATACTGATAGGTGTATCTACATTACTTGAATTTAATCTATTATTTTCATTTATAACACAAGATGATATATCTGTTGAACATAAGCTTTTACCTGGGACAACACATACTTTACGTTGCTTTGATTTATTAGAACCATCTAGTGAGGGATCATCTAGTGACTTACATAAATGATCTAAAAATGATTGGCTTACTAAATCAGTAGTTGAGTCTAAACCTATATTACAACATGGTAGTCGCGAAAGCACTTGAGACTAGTCTAATGGAAAAATTCCAGTAGGCAACATCTAATGGCTGCGTGAGATGTGTAGAGTTTGCTGGTAATGCCACAAATCCTATGTTATTGCTTTGATATGCATCCAGTACTGCAATGCTCAAATGTGAAGATACGTTATCACCTATAATGACACTTCTTCCTTGAGCCTTTTTAAGTCTTGGAAGGGGTAAAGAGAAAAACCAGTCCTCAAAACATGTTAAGTCAAACTAACCACTTTTGGTGTCCCATTTCCATCCATGTATTCCATAACGACTCAGCTTTGTAAACAACATAAGGTGGCAGCAATTTACCATTACCATTGCCACAAAACATTACAAAGAATGAGGTCTTTGTAGAATTAATGATGCATTCAGGATACTTACATCCACGCTTTGTTATTTTTTTTTTTTTACCTGGATCATCACTGAGATTGGTTTCATCATAATTCCATATATTATCAGGTGATATATTACTTATTTCATTTGATAGATTTATAAAGTAGTTATCAATCATAGTCCTTCCTATTTCTGATCTCTTTCGCTTTATGTTGTTTGCAAATCTTACTGTGAGTTTGTGAATCTTACTGGATTTCTTTTTTAAAAAAATCGAATCCAATCGCCACCTGGAAAATTATTTTTGAACTGAGGTATAATGACACCTTTTTTCTCTAAATACCCTTTTACTATGCATCTTAAATCATATTTATCAACACGAAAACCAAACTCAGATAATTTTATTGCATATGCCTTAAACATGTCTTCTTCTTTTGATGTAAATATTTGCTGATTACCATACTTTTTAGGATATGTCTGTTTTATTTTACTTTTTAATGTTGATCTTGGCATATCGTATTGTAAAGCTGCTTATTTCAAAATTGCATTACTACTACAAAACTTTTTATTGCAACATAGTAACTACCATAATATCTATAAATGATTACTAAAAAAGATTACATGGGTTGATTTTAGCCGGGCCAATGTCACCCTATGTAGTGGGCCAAAGACAACCTACTTTTTTTTAAACTCAGTTACAAAAAAGTAATAAACTGTTAAGCTTTTAAAATAATATAGAATCAAACACTAATGGTTTAAAATTAATTCAGTGTATATTCTAATAAAAAACCTTCTACAGGTACTGCTATCGATGTAAATGTTTACACACCTAAAAAAATTCGGATTTTAGCTGCTTCTTCTAAAGTGCAATTTACAATAATATCACAATGACTCGCGTTAAGTTTTTATTTTTTTTATTTTAATTCACCTCCTCAAGGCCGAGAAGGCCACTACAGACGAGGAGGCTACTTATTTGTGGCTATAACCCTCTCTTAACTCTATAACTCCGAAACACGAACCTTGACGAACAAGGCCGCTGCGCGGAGAAACGAGTTGAGCGCGGTACTACCAGGGACGTGGTGGGGATCGAACTCGGAACCACTCGTTTATGAAGCGAGCGCTCTACCACTACACCACTACCGCATAGTTAACTACCGCAAAGTTAACTAAGTTAAACTAAATAAACAATAAATCTCCCACAATTTGCTACTAAACATCAACCGGCATACCTTAAGGTATTGATTTTAAACCATTTTTAAACAAAAATTTCTGTTGGGCTAAAATCATCCCGTAGGGCTAAAGTCACCCAATTTTACGGTACTGATTTAATTAAATCTGTCACCTCTAACAAATAACATTTTTTATCCATCCAATCATATAAAGTTGATGTGATCAAGAATTAATTGATTTACTAAGTGATGATCAACAACATGATTTGTATATTTCACTTGCTAAATCTTTCAACTCTGTTAAGGTAAGCAGCTAAAAGAATAATTTTATACTGTTGTGTGAACAATTTTTTTTACTTTTGTTTTTTTAACTTTTCTAAGCACTTTTATTTAGCTTTTATACTTTCGTATTTTCATAGTTTTTTATTAGTCAACATATCCTAAAACAATGAATATGTTTACTATGAGCCATATATAAAGCAACATTTTTTTTAGGACAGCGATTATGTTTTTAAAGTTCTTGTCCCAGAGACAATCATTTACCTTTTTGCTAAGGTTGAGCAAATATCAAGAATAAAAGTATGTTTTCATTTGTAGAACTTTGTACCTTCATTGTATGTTGTATTTTTTTACATTGAATGAGAACATTGACAATATAATGGTCATTGCATTCTTTTCCGTTTCTGTAATTGTATAGGTTAGATGTCATACATTTCTGAAAAGTAGTATTTTAATTGCTTGTAATTTGTATCCTTATGATATATATCTATATCTATCTATCTATATATATATATATATATATATATATATATATATATATATATATATATATATATATATATATATATATATATATATATATATATATATATATATGTATATATATTTACATATATATATATATATATATATATATACATATATATATATATATATATATATATATATATATATATATATATATATATATATATATATATATATATATATATATATATATATATATATATATATATATATATATATATATATATATGTATATATATATAGATAGATAGATAGATATAGATATATATCATAAGGATACAAATTACAAGCAATTATATAATATATATATAAATATATATATATATATATATATATATATATATATATATATATATATATATATATATATATATATATATATATATATATATATATGTATATATATATATATATATATATATATATATATATATATATATATGTATATATATATATATATATATATATATATATATATATATATATATATATATATATATATATATATATATATACATATATATATAGATTGTTGTTGGTTTTATAGAAATCAAGAAGTCTTAGATGGGACAGAAAGTTTAAAAAGTGATGAGTCATCTAGTAAATTTAACCTTTTAGTTTTCATTTTATAAAGTTAAAATCATTATAAAGTTTATCAAATGTTTTCATACTAATCTAAAGTTTTACATTTTGACCTAAATAATTTTTTTACCTAATTTTAGTTTTATCAATTTGTTTAGATACTGATAAGTCACTCTCACATATGGTGTTAGAAAAACTAAAAAAATCACAGATAGAAAGTACGTCCTAATTTTAAAGTTTTTAAATTTGTAAATATTCCTCTTTTCGACCAATTACTCACATGTGTAAATTATTCAGTCATTTTCACATTGTAATTTTATAGTTATATATTTTTGTATGAACTTTTATTAACTATGTATAGAGTTTTTTTTAAACCTTATAAGGTTTAAAGAGAATAAACGGTTTCGAAGGTAGAAAGAAAGCAGTTATCTTATTAAGGATGAAATAAATGCATTCGATAAACACGTATATTTTTTTTCCCGTAAATTCATTCTATATAAATTTTTTCGAAAACATTTTTTTTAAGTGTTAAAACTGTATTGCACTGATAACTAATAGCATTTGGGTAACCAGTGGTACTTGTTTATTTTTCATTTTACTTTTGTTTTATTGTAGCTGGAGACCCAACCAAAAACTTTAACTAATTTAGATATGTCTAAGGTTTATAATTTTTTTGTTATTTTGATAAAATTTATATACAAAACTTTTATACAAAAACCAAGTTTGGTTTTGTACAGTTATCAATAATGTTTTATAGGAAATCATTATTAAAGACTTAATCTTTACGTTGTTATCAAAGTTAGTTGTTTGTGCTTATTTATATACATATATCCATTTAAAGTATTATTAAAATTTTTTTTCTAATTAGAAAAATTTGATAAGGTAAAAAATTTCCAGAATATGAATCTGAGAAATGTATAATTTTTAATTTGTTGGTAATTTGTTTAACAGGTTTGTTCAGATTTAAATGAAGACATTGAGTTTTATGTTGAACAAGTTGATTAAGTTAGTTGTTGCACTGTAATTTTTGTGTTTTTAATTTTACTTTTTACATTTTTACCGAGTCAATTTTTCTACAAAAGTTGATTATTCAGTTTGAATTAGTTATGATCTAAAAAAAACCTACATGACTTTTGACTAAAGAAATTTAGATATAAAAATGTTGATTGGAAACGTGGTTCAAATCACGAACCAAGACCTGCTTTGATTCGAGATTTAATTTGAAACAAAATTTACCATTTTGAAGGGCCCTAATTGTTTGATAATGATTTTAATAAAATTTTAAGTTTCGTGAAATGTTTTGAATTAACCTAGAAGGCGGCCGTTTGAAAAATTGGCCACAAAAAAATCATGTGAAGCCATCTCCTGTTTATTAAACCTCCTTGGTAAACATCTATTTCTTTTTATCTAAAAAATTTGACTGATTTTAGCAATGATATATCATATAACTAGATGTCTAACTTGCGGGATTTTGTTGGACAAAAAGTGAAGCCGCTCTTTTTTGTTTATAACAATAGTCCGCCATTTGTAAAAAGAGCAAAAGTTGAAGCCGAAGTGTGGAATAAAACTTAAAAATTCAAATCAAATAAATTAAAGTTATTTCAAAAACAAATTTTAATAAATTTAAAATACTTATAAAAGTTTTTTTATGAGCCTTCGTTAGTAAAAAGTATTTTAATTCATAAAAATGCTTCAAAAGCGTCTGTTGTTTTACTTTTTAATTCAAATCTTTAATCCCTTTTTAATCGAAAATAAATTAAGAAATCATAAATTATTATTTTACAAAAATTATAAATTCTGCTTAACACTTTTACGTAAATAGTATTTCAATTTAAAATATATTTAGTTCATTTAAAAAAAGAAAAGTCTAAAATAAAGTTCTATTTTGTTGGTTTCTAGGACCGAAGTAATGATTAAGAAGGACAAACGGGGGCATCTGTATTTTGTTGTCAGAGGTGAAATTCTTGGATTTGCAAAAGACACTTGCCAAGAGTGTTTTCATCAATCAAGAACAAAAGCTAGAGTATCAAAGACGATCAATAGGAAATAAAATAGGAAATAAAACAGATTAGAAAATAAAACAGAACAATCTGCATTAGCCACACACATGAGATATCATGCACAACAATTTAATTGGGACAGTTGCAGAACTCTAAATTTGATGCTAAAAAGTTTGATAGAAAAGTTTGTGAGGCATTTGAAATATAGTACCACCAATGTACCGAAAAAACGGAATAGTACCACCAATGTGCCCCTCAACAGAATAGTATCAATTTAGATGAAGGACAATATGTGTCAACAAAATTTTGGACAACATTTCTGGCGCATTTATATCAGCAAAAGATGAAACCATCCCATTGACATAAAATAGAACTCTATTTTTAAAAATAAGATATAAACTAAAACAAACAAAAATATTTTAAGCTAAAGACGCTGGTCACAACAATGCAGCAAAAATAGTATTTTAAAAAATAAATTTAGTAATAAATTATTTAGTGAGAAAAATTCGTATTTATTGATGTTCATAAAAAAATAATTTACATAATCTCATACATAAATTAAAAAAAAATTGATTAAGAGTGATTATTGTATACCAAAATATCCATGGAAATTTTTGTGTTATCAGTGATTTTTTTCTATTATCAATGCATTTGTTTTTTCAGTTGCATTTAATTATCAAAAAGCTAGCTGCGTAAAAGAGACAGTTAGATGGCTGTGCAACTTAATAGCAACTTGTGCCTTAGTATAGCAATGAAGGTAAATTGTTTTACTTGCAACTTTAAAAAAGCTAACGTTATCTTTAATGAAACATTTTTTAAAACAAATAAGTAGAATATTTTCAATTCAAGTCTTTTCACCACTAGATTTAATATAAAGCTGTAAAGTATTATATAATATACCAAAATAATGCTATCAAACTAAGTTTAATATATAATATATAGTATAACTCCAATGATTAGTTTTTTAACTATATGAGTGACACTGAACCTAATTTTGTAAAATTATAAATCACTTTGTAATTATTTCAATTTTATGGTTAAATAAATGACAAAAAAAAAATTAAAAGTAAATAAATAAATAATTTTAAACTTCTCTCGTAAGCATAATTAAAAAAATCTGACTTATATCTTTTTTTTTAAATTAATTTTTAGTAATTGGCAACCTACACTTATTAAACAAAAACTTTGTTTAAACTTTGCTTCAGAGTTGATCTATCTTTCAAATTTTTTTGCTTTAGTATGTGACGCGGTCTAAAGGCAAAACCGTTTTTTCGAAAACGTGAATTACTAACATATAACGTAAACAACAAAATTTTCAAGATAACAACACAACCACGTGTAATACTGATTTTTTAATGGTAAATTAGCCCCACAACCGTCATCTTGTGAAATAAAAACTATGTAATAGCTTTCTTTTCACAAGTTCAATATAAATATGAAGCAAGTGTTGGTTTCAATATAATTAGATTCTTAAAATTTAACAATTTTCAAACTTATAGGCTTTGGTTTTTCGATTTTTGTTTTTTTCTGGCAAAACTTGTGATTGATTGCTGTAAACAAATTGACAAATTATATTAATATAAACAACATTCCAGTAATAACTTTATAAAGTATAACATAATGCAATAAAAGCAAATTGGCTTAAATAATTCCACTTTTTAAAGTACTGCAATGACCGACCGACAAATATTTAAAGCAAAATATTATGTATGTGTCGTTGCACTATTATAGAGACCTAATATGTAAAAAAAGAATTAATTGCATATAGATTTTTTTCTCATCAGAATGGTTTGAATATTACAGGCAAAGGTCTTTATTTTGAAATGTCAATTAATATATTAAAAAAGGAAATTACTGAACAATTTTCTAAGTAAAATAACTAATTTCAAACAATTATTTAAACCGGTCATACCTGAAATCTTGTTTCCAAAAGGATATATATAATTTAGCATTTCTTGGATATTTTCTTTTTTTTTGTTTAGTAATGGTATTACATTTTTACTTGTCTCAACAAAATCATCTGACTCCAACATCACATTAAATACAGGCGAACATGATGCTAAAATGAAGCGATGCACGTAAAGCTCTTCGTCTTCAACCAAAATTGTAAGATCATCTTTTCTGTTAAACTCCCAATACTTTTTGTCCATTTAAACCAAAATGAAATATGAATAATAATTCCTGAGATAAAAAACTGATATAAAAAATAAATCAAAAAACATTCAATAAGTAAAAAGTAATAAGAATTGTCTGCAAATCGATAAAAAAGTTTATGAAAAATAAAATTTAATAGCTGTTTAAGTGTTAAATGTAAAAGGATTTAAAAACCAAATAAATTATTAATAATAACTCAAGCGTAAAGCATTTAGATATGCAAAATCAATTTAAATAACGAGTTAAGGGTGTTCAAGCGTAAATCATCAGGGTGCACAAAGTATGTATGCAATTGATATTAAGTTTAGCGTAAAATATTTTATGATAAGACACTGATAGAATTGCAAAATAAAAAAGTTAAAAAACAAAACAAAAAATAAATAAATAATAACAAAGTATGTATGGGTTATCTGTAGAATATGCATTCTATCTTTATGCATTTATATATATATATATATATATATATATATATATATATATATATATATATATATATATATATATATATATATATATATATATATATAAATATATATATATATATATATATATATATATATATATATATATATCTATATATATATATATATATATATATATATATATATATATATATATATATATATATATATATATATATATATATATATATATATATATATATATATTCTCTGGGGCAATAGTTGTTGAAGCTACTAATGACTTTTCATCAGCATCTACTGAAGCCTTTGTTGAACTTTCTCAGCAAAATGTTTCGGTGGTTGTGCCAATAGAAGAAGTTCAAGTTGAAGATCCAAGAGGAGCTTATTTAACACCTATAAAAGCTAAATTAAAACAGTGTCTTTCTTTATTATCACAATCACGTGATAATAATGAAGCAGGGCAACAAAATTGCAAAAGGCTTTTGTTATTATTAAAAAGACAGAGACAAAAATATCAGCAACTTAAAAAATAAAATGCTGAAATTATACAACTAAAACAAAAACTTGTTATAAATTCTCAAGTAATTAAATCACTTGAACATCAAAATCTTCTTCTTGAAGAGAAGATTAATAATTTAGAATCCAATTTAATGGTTACTAAGAAAAACAAAAAAATATATAATACAGAACTACGAACACTTGTTTTTGATGCTGTAATTAATCAAGTATCTGCAAATTGCATTTCTTCTTTAATTCAAAGTTTTAGCCAACATCTAGGTCTTACCATTAAAACTGTTCCTTGCCGCAATACTGTCGAACAAATGGTGAGGGAACTAGGTGTTATCACTGACCTCCAAACAGCAGAAATTGCTATATCTGAAGAGAATTTAACGCTTGGATTTGATGGCACAACTCAGGAAGGTGTACATGCCAGCTGAATTCACCTTACTACTAAAACTGGTTGTCATGTTGTAGCACTAGATGAGTTAAGTGGTGGCACATCAGAGGACTATGAGCAGCATATATGTCAATCCATAGACAACTTAGCCAAAACTTATGCCTCTTTCCATTTAAAAGATTTTTACGAATGTCGTCAGACTATAATTAACAACATAGCTAATACAATTTCAGATCGAGCAGTTACAAACCATGCCACAATAAAAAAGTTAAGTCTGGCATGGAACAAAACCTTCAGTGAGTTGAACTGTCATCTTCATCCTCTAGAAACATTTTCCAGTAAGTGTAGATCTGCACTTGCAGTTATAGAAACAGAAAAAGGGAAATTATTTGGTAGCGATTGCATGGCCGGAAATATTGTTGTGCAACTAAATAAACTTCGGTACACGGATGGAAAAGGTGATCCTTAAGGATGTGTTTTATTTTTATTAAAAGAAGAACTTCCCAAGGGTTTACTTCCTAGATACAGAGGAAATCGCTTGCATATTTTATTTCATATTTGTGGAGTATTAATTCTACATTATGACGTTTTTAAAACATTTCTGACATTAGGTACTCTTTCATGCGTTCGATTAAAAGCCAGTTATCTACTGACTTTGCAAACAATATTGCTAAACGAGAACTTTGTGTTGCTGGGTTAATAGGAAAACTTATAACTAGTCCTTGGATGAAAAAAATTTATGTTTCAGCCGAAAAACAAATCTCTCATTTGGATGGTATTGTTGTTATTAAAAAAGCCCTGGATATGGTTGACCAATGTCTAAAAAATCCATTACAAATTTTATCAAGATCAAAAAATTTCTTTGATGAAGAGTTTGATAAAAAAGATTTTGTCTGGAAGGCTCTCATTGAATTCTGCCCTAAAGACGACAGTATGAAAAAAATGATACTTGTTTGCTTGACTGCTATATCTGAAACAATCAATAGGCAATATGAAAAATACTTCAGTATGAAACCCACAGAACAAATGGAATTTGAAACTGAATCTGCAAGGCTACACAACATGGATGCTGAGGAAGTGATGGGAATGTTTAGTGCAGCTCAGAAATTTGCACCTAATGCAACTCTTTGTTATCTATCATCAAGACTGCGTGCCAGAAAAAATAATGTTAACAACTATTTAAACAGTCTTCCAAAACATGTTAAAGACTCTGTTATGGAGTGGGCCATTAATTTTGCAACAAAAAGAAGAGAGATTAATAGATTAAAGATGTCTGAAGTGAATAAGGAGATGACACGCAGAGCAGAGCAAAAAAGGCAAAAAAAGATACAAAAGAAAGGAAAAAAATAGAAAAAAAATTAAAAATAATAAATATAAGTGTTGAAACTTTTGAGAACAAGTTTCCAGACATTAGTGAATCAAATTTTAATGATATTTTGAGTGTAATGTCTGGAACTGCCATAGGCAGAAATATATGCCATATTTGGTATGAAGATGAAAAAAAGATTATATATAATGGAAGAATTGAAAAAATAAAAAAAAAGATACAGGATACATATGTTGTTGCTTATTGGAACAAGGATGAAGATTATAATGATGCAATAGACTATGATATTCCAAAAGTTCAACTTGCTTGTGACATTATACTTGGTGATCTCATGATGGCATGAACATCTTTAAACCAATCACTTTAATTCATAAACTAATATTTATTATTATTTTCACTTAAATACACTCTAAGGATTATTTAAATATATAATATTTGAGTTAAGTCACAAAAATTTAGACCAATATACATTTTTTTGATAAAAAAAAATAATTTTTGGGTCCAACTTTTCATAGCCTCTCCATCTATAAAAAATCACAACTCAAAAATCTCATAACTTTTAAAATACTCGACCTACAGAGATAGTTTTAGTATTTTTAGAAAATTCAAAATTAAAGGCATATATTTATGTAAAAAATATTGTTTTAATTTTAAAATTTCAAAATTTCCTCACATCCCTAATATATCTATATATATATATATATATATATATATATATATATCTATATATATATATATATATATATATATATATATATATATATATATATATATATATATATATATATATATATATATATATATATATATATATATATATATATATATATATATATATATATATATATATATATATATATATATATATATATATATATATATATATATATATATATCGTTTTATGTAGTGTTGTATTAAAATAATACACAACGTTGAGAAGTGCTCAATATTTAAGAAATTTATTTTGATTATATATAAATTTCATAACAGAGCAGTTTATAATTAAAAACAAAAAAAGAAAAAACTTTTATTATAGAACTTTAAGTTTCAAGCCTAACGGCAACCATCAGCCATATATTACAAAATTTAAAATAGACGTTAAAGGTACAATTAAAATTACGGCGGTATGAGTTCTAATGACTCCATGGAAACATAGTCATAATATCATGTATATTATGACTATGATGGAAACAAAACTTTAAGTTTTAAGAGTATCACATGGCGTAAAAGTGACGTAAACCAATCAGGATCAATCTGCGGTATCATAGGAGGAAAAAAGAAATTTATTTTGGTCCCTACACTTCGAGATTATTTCACTCCTTGTGTTAAGTAGGTTTTTACCTTTATACAATAGAATTTGAAACTTCTTGTTCAAACAAAGGTTGCACACTCTTGATGTTGGGTTGTATGGTTTGCAATGTTTAACAATTGTCCATCTGACAAAAGCTGTAAAGTTTTTTTATTTTAATTTCCATATTTCTTTAGATAACTCTGTATCATTTTTATATCTAATTGAATCAAAAGATTTGAGGTGGTTTGCGTATCGAACTTTAAAAAATGTCTCGCTGAGTCCAAAATACACTTTTTCTTTGTACTCCGTATTGTTTGAACAAACGGTGGCTTGATTAACAATGTTGTTAGAAAGACAATGGTTGTTCATCGGACATTTGGATTTATCAATGCAGTTGCATGTCTTTTCATTAACTTTTGCGTCCTCATGTAACGTGTTTTTATTGTGAGAGTTGATAATGGCATTTATGTTTGGCATACAGGAATAACTTATTTTGATTGTGCTTCTATTAAATATTTTACGGAGTCTGTGGTTAACTGGAAAGTGGTGGTCGATGAGGTTTAAAAAAACATTAACCTATTTTTGTTACAACATTTGCACTGAAAGGAGGATTATACCAAATTATTTTACGTTTATGGTTGTTGTTTGAAGATTTTATACTTGGATGGTATGCAAGTTCGTAAGTGTGTCCAGATTTTTTCAGGGCTTCTTGATAAGGAGGAATACTTTCTTTAAAAATCGATTTACTTGACGATAATGCTGATAATCTTAACTCAATGTTTTTAGAAACACTTTTTATTATACTCGGTGGGTGGTTAGAACTTATATGTATGTAATTAAGTATATTATCTGCTTTGCGGTAGGGTTTAAATGAACCATCTTTAAGGTTTAGCGTTAAACCCAAATAATCAACTATTTTCAAATTACTTTTAATGGATATTAAAAGATTGTTATTTTTAAAGATTTGTACAAAATGTTTTTTTATCTTTTCCAATTCTTGACCACTTTTGTTTCTAAATATAGCTAATCCGTCATCTCGATATATACCAAAATTATTTTTATCATAAAACTGTGAGATTTGATGTAAAATAAAATTACCAACTAATTCGCAAATCTCCCCGCAATCAAAGGCCCCCATAGTGACATCAAATAGTCCTCCCTTTTTCTTAATCCAAGCAGTTCCATTGTTAATTAATCACGATTTTCTTGCATGGTATATAAAACTCTTTTGCTCACTATTTATTATTAGATGTTGCTCTGCAAAGGATAACGCATTTTTCAGTAGGATAACGCATTTTTCATTTTTCTGCAAAGGATAACGCATTTATATTTATATAAGGAACGTGTGTAAAAACTTCAATTCATTTATATAATTTTTATATATGGATTGAATGAGTTTTGAATTTGTAATTCAATGGTGAAAATTTTATGAAAAAAGAATAATTACAAAAAAAGTTATGACATTTAAGCATGGAACCCGGTGGGAAGTCGGCTAGCGAATAGCTAGCTATAATCGTTACGATAAAGACAGCGATTTGGCCACGAGGATCACTAGCTTTTTTAAGTTAGCAAAAAGCTATTGATTTTTGTAAAGATAAAGACAGCGATTTATCAACGAGGACAGCTAGCTTAACAAATTGAAGATCCACTGGCTATTGTACCTAGCGTCATATCGTAATAAAACCGTTGTCTAAAAATTTTTGATATGTAGCTATCAACCAGGTATAGATTTGTAGATATTTTGTAGCTAGCTACAAAGCTACGATATGTAGCTAGCGACACATTGCTACAAAATTGCAATGTTTAAAGTTCAATTATTTTCATAGTTATAATAGACTCAACACTAAAATCGAATTTTTAAAGATGTTAAAGACATTTGCAAAAAATAAAATAAGAAAAAAAAAATCGCTAGAAAATCGCTATAGAGCTAGCTAGTCGCTAGCTCATTTCCCACCGGGAAATATAAAACAGATGGAAGTTCATCAAGCCGTAAACATCAAAGGGTAATTCCGTGTCAAAACAACAACAAAAATTCAAAAAAATAATCTACTATCTCTAAATGACTTGATTTTTGCAACAACGATACTTAACTAGGCTAAAAAGAATTCCCTAAAGATATTTTAAACAAATTGGAATACTTTAGAAGTTATGCTCGTTTAAAATTTAAAACTTAGTAACATTTTTACTTATTATGCTCCCCTAGCAACGCCCTTAGTAACAAGTAAATGCTAATACATACGTTGTTACATTAACTATATTGTTTCATAATTTGAAATTTTCCACATATTGTTAGATGCTAAACCATAAAATTATAACAAGAAATATTTTTATTTATTTCTTAATAAGTCAACAAGAGTAAATCGGCGTTTTTAATAAAATTGAAAAGTAATTATGCTTACTATAAAAAGAATTACAGAAAAGGTTATAATCTATATATTTCCAAACTTCATCTTAAAGTATATATAAACATCTAAAAAAAAAAAAAAAAACTGAGCTGTTTTTTGACTTACTAATCTAAACAATTTAATTTTTATTTTTGATTGAAAGTATATTGAGATTGAGACAGAAGATTGATTGGTACTTATGTTTAGGCACAACCAGAAAGTAAGAATTCTTACTTATGTGTAAAACTATAATATGCATATTTAATAAACTCAATTAAAAATATTTAAATACTAAAAACAGGTATTTTCACTCAAAGCTAGTCAAAAAATAAGAGGTATTTTCACTAAGGTGTAAAGCTGCAACATCCATGACATGTCCATAAATAAACTCAATTTTAAATATCAAAACACATTAACTCTTTGAATTGTTTGTGCTTTTATGAATTGATAAATTTTTATACAAATTATTGAACTTCAAATATTCCTTTGTTTTTCTTTGGACTGTAAAACAAAACAAAATTAGGTAATATTTTTTAATGCAAAATATTGTCATATACATATCATATCATAGACATAAGTAAATGTCAATTCGAAGTAATAATTGATAAAAGGAAGCAAGAAAATGTCTTTGAGATTCAAGAGCCATGTTGGTGCATAAATTAAAATTTCATCCCAACTTTCCACATCACTTTGCATCTCGCAATTTTTAAACTTGTAGGTCAAGATAGGGATAGTGTCATCACTGCAGTATTTCATCTTAACTTCATTATGACATACAGGAATAAATTCATGAAAGTCTCTTGTTCCTGGTATTGTTTTTACATTTTTAAATTGTTCAGATTGTAATAATCTTGTTTCTATCAAACTTTCACTTGAAATAAAAATAAAGTTTATACCTTTGATGTTGTTAGTGCAATATGTAAACATTTCACGTGAGTTTAATATTTGATTTGTAAAATTTCTCTGCAAACTAGCATTAACTACAAGCCGTTTAAATGTTCCTCCTATACCATCACAAGGTTGCTTTCCATGGCTGGTTGCAAAGAAAACCCATTTTGCATCTATTCCAAAGTCTGATATATGCTAACATAAATTAAATATATTTTTGCAGTTTTTATATTGAGATGAACAGCCATCAGAAAAGTAGACCACGTTTACAATGCTGGGTATTTTTTGCTTCAGATTATTGATAATTGATTTTTGTACCTCGTAAACCATTGCTAGATCATGATTGTTATCATCTGATATAATGCAATATAAAGTGGAATGCAACAGTTGATTTTCTTTATAGTACACAACCACTGGATGAAGTGTGCACTGAAGATTATTCCAATGGAAATCTTGTACTTCATCCTGCACAACAAAACTATAGTTTTCTGCAAAATCTCCTAGAATTATTGCGCTACCTGATAGCAGTTCTTCTTTAAGATTTTTTAAATATCTAGATTGGCATTTAGAAATATATGAATGCGTTGTTAGCTTGACTAGTTTTTCCATCACCATATTTACATAATCTGGTATGATTACAAGCTGTATAACTAAATCTGATCTATCAGTAGTAACCCATTGGTTAAATTCGATAGTATCTTCTTACTCAAAGTGCTTTATTAGTTTGAATAGCTTTTCTTCTAATTTAGATGTATTTTTTGGACATTGTGTACATCGATGAAACATGCATTCTTTGTTTTGCATATCACAAACAATAAATTTATATAGTTCGTGGTAATCAATTTTAATGGGTAGGAGAATTAACTTCATGTTTTGATAATAAATACAAACGCACACAGAATGGGTTCCTGATGAGTTTGGCAAAACACACCATTTAGGTCTTAAAACAAAAAACTTTAAAAAAACCTCACTTAACATGTGGATAAAGATTTTTAAATGAGACGAATAACTCTTTTAAGCTTGACAAAAGTAGTCGCTTTTGCATATGGACTTTCCAACTAACACTTACAAAATCCATTTGACCAGGCAACTGGCGAGAGTTTTCATCATTTTCATAAAAAAATTTTCACTAAACTATTTATTTGATCAGGGAGCATTTTACCTCGCTTAGTTTGTGGAACTGCAAGAACTCCTTCCTTCTTTGCTAAAGATCTAGATTTTATTATTAGATAACTTGAAACACTAAAATACTCACTAGCTGCTTCAAATGACCATTCTTGTGGGCACAAAGTCAATACTTGAATTTTTTCCCTAAATGAACTGCATTTTTCAAGTTTATCTTTGATCAAAACTAACATTTTTTGAACAACTTTTTTTTTTAAATCAAGAACATATTCATTATCAAAAACTTCAACTTCTGTCAATGGAATTTTTAAAGAACTTGATAACTTTTCTTTGAAAACTTTTGCAATAGTTTTAATTTTTATTTTTCCCAATACTCATACGATTTGCAAATGGCTTTCCGTGAAGCCTGACTGGTGAAACACCAATTATACTGAGACAATCAGAAAGTTCTTGTCTGTTTTTATTTATATCAGCTTCTTGTTGAACACTAAATATGTTTTCTTTATTTATACTTTCATTTGTGTAATCATTAGCAAAATTAATGTTATCAGTATTAATTTCAGTGGAAGCTTTTAATTTGACTAAGCAATTAGTACAAATTTTTTGACCAGGTACAATATTGATCCTGTTGTTTAAAGCTATGGTTCTTAACATGGCTTCTCTGAGAGATGCTAAATTAAAAAATATAACTTAATAAAGTAAAATGTGCCTACTATTAACAAACATAAAAAACTTAAAATTATGACAAATTTACTATTATAAAATTTATGACAAGCTTTAATAACCTTTGCACGGTTATTTGTGAACTAACAGTGGATTACAGCATTTATTCTGAAACACAGGGAACTTCTCAAGATAGAACTTTTGATGATGAAAATGTAAGTCAATAATCAAAACAGAAGAAACACCAGACTTTAGCGCAACTAAATTTTGCTCATCTGGAGCTAAATCTTGAAAAAAGTTTATTCCAATGTGGTTTGTAAATGTTAACTTGTGACAATTTGATTTTAAAATCAATCCAACTGAGCATTGTGATGTTCCAGCCATTATAAAAATATTTAATTTCAATATTTTATTTTTCTAAACCTATTATTAAGTAAATAATAAACTCTTGCATGAGTATTATAATCAAAATTCAAATGTTAAAATCAATTGCTCCATTTAACTAATACAAGAAAAAACCAGAAATTCATTTTTAATTTAAACTAAATAAATGTAATCATGTGATTAGACTTATTTAGTTAAAATAAAAATGAATTTCTGGTTTCTTGTTTAATTAATTAAACGGAGCAACTGGTTCTAAAATTTGAGGAAAATACTTATGTGAGAAATAATTATTTTTTTGTGAGAAATTATTTTAGTTATAATCTTTAAATGGAGATTATAACCAAAACGGTAAATAAAACAATAATAAAATAGATATGTGCATCAAAAAACAATAATTTTTGCCTTTTACAGGCATTTATACATAAACTCTTTTTGTAAGATTTAAAGTGAATAGTTGATTGAACCACTTGATTTTAAAAGCATATGTTAGTTTAAGCATCTTTTCTTGCTTCAAGTCATAACACGACATTTGATAGAAAAGACAACTAAAACAATTTTTAAAAAATCAAAAAAATTGTTTTCTAAGTAACTAAAGTTTAAAGTTTTATTAGTTGTAAATGATAACTCCATTTATTCTTGTAGTACTCCATTCATTTAATATAAAGTTTATGAAAAAGGCTAGAAACATGATTCCATAGCGTAAAGTTAGGTGACGTAATGTTTATTTTTTGGCGAATAATTATTTAAGATGCAAAAAGCATTGTAAAATTATTTGTTTTATGCAATGGTTTTATGTGAATATTTAATTATTGGTCATGCGTGGTAAAATGTTTTTATCAAATAGTAACTCAATACAAAATTTGTGAAACATGATTTTATACTATAATACAAATGTTTTTATGCAATTTATATTTAAATCATGATATTAGAATATTATTTGTGATCATAATATCAAAGTGAACCGAGGTTGTTAAGATATTTTGATAATAAAGAAAACTAAATCATAACATTGATACTGTAGTTGGTTTGTTTATTAGTCATTTTGTGAGGATGGCTAAGTAATTATTTCTAAAACTAAAATTTTGAGTGATGGTTTATATTTTAGCAAATTTAAAAATCAACCTATTATACACAGAGTATATACAAATGAAAATACCATATTGAATTCTGGTCTATTTTTGGAGAACATTTTTTTTCAAAGAGTATTAAAGTTTTTGTGTATAAGCAAAGAAAACTAAAGATTTTCAAATTAAAAAAAAATATGCATCATGTTTTCAATAATATTTTTGTGTATCTTTTTACGTAACATGGTTTGATCAATTTTTACAATGTTTCCCATCTAAATTGGCAGGAAAAAAGTTTATAAAAAGTATACAGTTTTATAGCAAGTTAAGTTAACAAATCTACTTTTAACGAAGCTTAAAATAAAAAGTTTGCAAAATAGTGTATGTATAGATTTATGTTCTTTTGTTGTTCATTTACTATAAACAAGTAAATGAATTTGGAAATGGAAATTTAGTTCAACGCCAATAGCAATTGTGATAAAGTAAATTAAGATCATTTAAAGTTCAGTCAAGCAAGCACCTGAAAATGGTCAACTTTTTGTTTAGTATAGATTGCTGTTCCAAATACAAGTTGCAGATATGATCCAATACTTTATGTCAAGCAAGGTTCAGATTTTAAACCAAACAGACTTACTATCTGTTGATCTTCTGCTTTGTTTTGAAGTTATGAGTTCAAATAGATATGTAAAACATTTAGTTTACAATTTTGTTTTATGGCTTTTAAGCTCAAACTAGTAACCAATGATGTGATTTAAAGGTTTTATTTTTACAAATTTTAATTTGAAAGGAGAACAACATACATTATTAAATGAGCTATAATTTGAATGCATATATTTAAATATAGGGAAGATCAATCACCCCTATATATGTATATATAAATATATATATAAATATATATATATATATATATATATATATATATATATATATATATATATATATATATATATATATATATATATATATATATATATATATATATATATATATATATATATTATATGTAAGTTTTGATTTATATGTAAGTCTGTACAAAGATATAATTTTATATAGCTTTATATTTTATTAAAAGTATGTTTTAATTATATTTTAATATGTTTTAATTTATGTTTTTAATTTTTTTTTTTTTTTTGTGATACAGAAGATGTTTTGTTCAAAGCAGATCAGCCAACTATATAAAGGACAGATAAAACTAACCCTCATCTCAGGCTTAAGGGTCAATTAATGCAATTTTTCAAAAGCTTTTTTTGAAGTATGCAATCCTGATGTCTTGATGGGCACAATCACATGGAAGTAATGTAATATTAAAATAAATATTAAAGTATAAAACTTGCATTTACTTTACTTTGCTCTAACATCAAGTAATAATAAAAGTCCCAAACCATATTCAATTAAAAATAGGTTTTTAACTTGTAAGTGAATCAAATTAAAAAATTTTGTTTTTGTTTTTTTAGATGTTACATATAGTGTAGTACAAAAGGGATAAAATAATATCAAACAAAGTTGCTTGGTAGGGTACACTGGATCCATCCACTACTTCTAAAAAATCCTTAAAAACCACTATATAAAATAAAAAACAAGAGAATAGTAAAAGAATTCCTTTTATTTACATATTTAAGCAAACTGTTGATACAATATTTTAACAAAAAAACATTTTAATATTTTTTTAAAAAACAAAATAGGGGTAATTTCTACACGTTTTCATAAAAAGTTCGAACGTACTTGAACGTTTTGTGTTAGCTGGGAGGTCATACATAACATTCAGATCGCAAACTTTAGGGTCATCCACATTTACCCAACACATTGTGCATAAAATTGGTTTGTCTGGGGCATCACTCATTGTTGTTTTTTTCATGTCTTTTCCTTTCCCTTTACCTAAAATGAAGACAATTTTTGGCTTGGTTTTAACCTAATTTTCTTTAGTGAGCCTAGCAATGCATTTATCTGAAGTGAGGCTTTTACCACACAGTCTTTTTATGGCCTTTCCTCTCGTCTCCATTTGCCGCTTTCCTAGTTTTTCATGAAAAGTCAAATGTCTGCAATTACTAAATTACGCTTGTAGCTTAACAAACGTCGTTTGAGCGCTTTAAAGACGTTCTGAACATCTTTTGAACGTTCAAAAGACGTCTTTAAGCGTCTAATCTAGAATCAGTTTAGAACGCGTCCGAGACGTTCCGTCTGAACGTTCATTGTACGTTTTTTGTACGTACGAATCCACTACCGACAATAATCTGTTAAATTTTTCTGATCCATTACATATAAGTGCTTATTTATAATTTATAATATTTTCCTTCCTTTTTAGCTGATTAGGCATTTGCATTAAAACCGCACATGTATACGACAAGGCATTTGCATAAATAACAGTAAACAGTGATAAAGAAACTAAAAAAAGTTTTTCTGCGGTATGTATGTCTTTTCCAGTATGTAAGTCTTTCCCATCTTTAGAACTCCAAAAATTTAGTAAAAAGTTGAAGTTTAAACATATAACTAGTAGCCTACAGTATCAACAATCAAATGGAATGGCTGAAAGACGTGGAAATAGTAGGAGTTATTTTGCACAATTTTGTGCAAAAAACTTCTTACTTCTGTGCAAAAGTCGAGTTAGAAAAAGTTAATTTCAAAAAAAGTGTACAAAATAACTCCTTGTAATAACTGTGTACAAAATAACTCCTTGTAATAACACACTTGTGCCTAGGGGTGATAGCTACACACCGGTGTGGAGGAAAACACCACATTTTCCGCAAGAGTGTACTTCAAGTAAATTAAATTGACGTAAATATATGTAATAACAATCGTGAAAAAAATCAAAAATTACAGAAGAAATATTACGACAAAACGCGAAAACATAGGCGAGGGAGACAGTGCAGGAAAATTTGTTAACAGCACATAACTACTAAGTTTTAATGTAAAAACCTTATATAAAAATATTATTAGAAGAAAGAGACAACATCTGCTAAAAAAAAATGAAGAAGTAGGTTCGTATGATTATCTATCAGATGAAAGCAGCGATACTAATAAATCAAAAGAAGTATTCATAGCAGACCTATGGAGCCAAGCCGAGCCGGAGCCGGGGAGCCGTTGTTTTTTAGTGGAGCAGGAGCCGGAGCCGCAAAAATCGAGCGGCTCTCGGCTCTCGTGTTTTTTTTAAAAAAAGAGAATGTATATTTTTTATTTTTATAACCTAGACAAACTTTATTCATTTATTGTTTAACATTAAATTTCTATTTTTTTTAAATATTTTTTTCTAACAGTTACGGTCTTGCCAAAACGTAATAAAAATGATTTTTTTAACGATTTTGTACTCGACAAAATACTATCTTTAATAGCATTTCTTAATATGCTTTATTAAAAAAAAGTAATATATATATATATGGAAACATTACAGCTTTATATAATATTTTTATATTATATTATTGGTTTCATATTATATTTTTATACCGATGCTATGCTGTTAAATATTTAATGCGCTATTTAATGATCAAAGCTTAATATAAATCTTTAAAACTATATTAAAGCATACGATCGTTAAACTTGAAATGATGAATTTCGTTTTAAAACTTTTTTTCGGGAAAATTACTTTAAGTAATCATAGCATTAATTAAAAACATCAACAAACGAGTCAAAATGTTTCTAATAGTTAAAATGTCATTAAAACAGTTTAAAAAAAAAACCTAAAAAAAAAGTCTGCAAAACAATCTACCAAATTCTTCTGCATCGTTACTTTTAATCGCTAAAGTATATGAATCTAGCAAAACCATTGTTTGTATGGTCATAAAACAATACATGAGCTCTCTATCTGTTGAACGACCAAAAGGATCTGGAAGAAAGTGTCGCTTTAAGGATTAGAAAGCAGCAATTAGTATTTGACGATCATCAATCAAAATCCCAGCTTATTGAACAAAGAACAAGCCAAAAGGTATAAAGTTTTAGAGTTTTTAAAGATTAAATTTTGGCAAGCAATATGCAGCTGTAATTTGAGATCTCGAGCTTTTGTCACATCGTCAACTTTAAACTCGGATCTTTACATCAAAGAATACTTACA